TACTCCAAAGAAAACAGCTGAGGGCAGAAACCCCCCAGCCCCACTGAACCCCAGCGCTGCTGAAACCCCCCCCAGCGCTGCCCAGCCCCCCCCCGAAACCCAACCCTCCCCAGCACTGCCCTCCCCGTGGAAACAACCCGCCCCCAGCGCTGTCCACCCCACAGAAACAAACTCTCCTTCCCCAGCGCCGCCCCACCAAAACAGTGGTATTGAACCTTTGTAATATGTTATAGCGGGCTCCGAAGTTAGTATAATTAAGGTAAAAGAAAAATGTCTTTTTGCTAGAAGTAGAATAAGATCTTCCTCCTCATTTTGTGATCAATTGCCCTGTTGAATGAATGAGGTGTGAATGAGGAAGGCGTGGAAGGCAGGCACCTCCAGACAGCTGCAACCCTTGGAGAGGGGATGGGAGCCAGACCAGATCAGTAGACCAGGTCAGCCACCAACTCACCGCTCGCCTCCTCAATCTCCCTCCCCTGCCGCCGGCTCACCTGCACCCCCGCCACTGCCTGCCCGCTCGCCTCCTCAGCCCCCGCCCCCCGGCTCACCTGCTCCCCCGCCACTACCTGCCCGCTCACCTCCTCAGCCGCCGGATCACCTGCCACTGCCCACCCACTTGCCTCCTCAGCCCCCCACCCACCCCACCTAATCACCCCCCACCACTGCCCACCCGCTCACCTCCTCAGCTCCCCTTCCTCACCTGCCGCTAGCCTACTCACCCCCCACGGGACGCACAGTGAGCCCACCTACTCAACCCCCGCGGGACGCACGGTGAGCCCACGCGGGCCGCATGTTGTGCAGGTCTGCCCTAGGTGATTTGAATTTGCTATTGTCCTGCTCCTCTGCTCATACCAAAAACCAAAGACTGCCTCCTCAGCAAATGTCACCTAGCTTAGAGGCAGGCTGATGAGGCCCCACACCAACAAAGGGCTCAACTAGCCCAACCCCACTGTGCTGCAACCAATGCCAAGCCAGGAGGTGGAATAAAGGAGAGGCTGACTTGCCAGGAAGGAGCTCTGCCTGTAGCATTGTAGCCAGTGGGGGAGGAGTGGTTCCCAAGCCTGAAGGAAAAGGCAGGAAGACCCCCTGGGAGGACTAGAGGGCAGCCCAGTATTAAGGTGGATTTGCTTTTTGTTTTAGAATATTTTGGGGCTAAGCCCTTCCACACCTTTTCCACCTCCCACTCAGAAGGGGATAGGACTGAAGGCACAACTAGCCCATGGGCTGAAGATCACCTCAGTGGACACTCGACAGATTTCTCTCCCCGTGGTCACATCACAGTCCATAAGGGGATGCTGCTCCAGCAACTACAGGCAGGGCACACAGAGAGACAGAGTGTGTGAGAAAGTGGATTTTTTCCCTGCTAACTGACTGCTCCCATGGAAAACAAGTGCCTAAAACATCACGTTTAGCATTAAATGAACTCAGGTGCCCACTGTTCTCTGGCTGTATTTAACATGGGGTTAAAAAAATCCCTGGAGATTTCAAGAAGCTGAGGCCAAACTAGCTGCACTGCTCAGGGCTATGAAAAATTTCACTCCCCTAGTGCCATAGGTAGGTCGACTTAACCCAACCCCACCTCCGCCCCCCATGTAGATACCACTAGGTTAAGTTAAGAATTCTTCTGTCAATGAAGCTCCTGCCTCTCTGACAGGAAGATTATCTACAGCAATGGAAGAACCCCTTCTGTTGATGTAGGAAGCATTTAACTAGCGGGCTCGAGCAGCGCAGTTGCTGTAATGTAGACACACCCCGAGTCTGTTTGACTGTGGCCTTTATCATTGTTTTTTTAAAAAAGAACAGGAGTACTTGTGGCACCTTAGAGACTAACAAATTTATAAATTTATAAATTTGTTAGTCTCTAAGGTGCCACAAGTACTCCTGTTCTTCTTTTTGCGGATACAGACTAACACGGCTGCTACTCTGAAACCCATTGTTTTTTTAGTTAAACTTGTGACTTTATGGCTAGGATGAAAGCCCCAGAGCCTGAGGGGATCTCTGTCCAAAACAGAGGCAAAGCAGGGACACGCTGTGTGTGGGAGGCCTGTCAGCAGCTGGGAGAGCAAAGAATGTGCTGTGGGCTGGGGACACATGAACTTCCCTAGTCTTGATCACGTTGCAGTTCTAGAGAGAAGGTGGGGTGAGTGTCCTCCTCTAGCAGAGCTGCACCAGGCCACTAGGAGGAGCCAAATCCAGTCTTTCTGCACCTCGGTGATGCCAACCCCCAAATTAAAAAACATGTTAGCGCTCCTCCCACCCCACAAAAAAAAAAAATATTTTATTTTTTAAAGTTCAGTTCTTTGTATTTGCCTTCTGGGTCTTGATCCTCTAGGGTGCACTTGTGGAAAAAAGTGTGCAGCTGTGAGACCCAACCATAAGGGCTAGGAACTCTTTGAGAGCGCTGTGATTCTTATGCAGCCACAAGACTCCAGGAGTTGGGGGCAAATATTGTGAGACTCATGATAAAAATCACAAGCATGGGTAACACTGACTCCTAGGCTGTAGTAAATGTGCTGTAGGGTTTTACGGGTGATGTAACCATGGAGTTGGGGAGGGGGTTTCATTACACCAGCCATATTTTTTGAACTACTTATTTAGGAAGTTTTAACAAGTTTCCACATCCTTGCCCTATACACATCAGAAACAAAACAATTGTTACAACAGTTAGCTTTCATTTAAAGAGACATTATACCAAAATATAGTCATCAGATCTTTCTGTTTAACAGGGTATCACCATATTACAGAATCGGTATCATTACAAAACCCACGTCATTTCTAGTGACTATCAAATTGAATGAAATCTCTATGCACATGTAAGAGACCAGGTATGTCTATCAAATGCTAATATTCAAATAAATTGGACAGGTGTCCTGGGGGTGGGGGGCGTTTGACAGGTGAATGTATTTTGACTACATAAAAGGGAATAAAATGTAAGCAAATATCTATCTATCCACCTTCTGTCTATTTTGCTGGGTCCGCAATTGATGTGTGAATTTTTCCATAACCACAAACTCCCATTTTTTTGGAACAATTTCTCAGTGGTTGGGCTATTTTTCTTTTTCAAATGAGAGGCTGCCAATAGCCAAGCAGCTACTAGGAGATGAGAGATGAATCTCTCGATTTCCTTTTGTGTGACCATTCCACTAGGAAGCCCCACGAGGATTACCAAGGGATCATTTGGTAATAAATATCCAACCATTTGTGATCTTTGGTTAGGGATTGCACCTTAATACTCTCAAATGACTGGAGCTGTCCACCAGATATGCATAAAATCTCCTCTTCCATCACAATTTCTCCAGCATTTATCACCATTCCATCTCACTATATATTTTAACATGACTGGTGTGAGGTGCTATTGGAAAAAGTATCTTAAAGACATTGGTCCTCTTTTCCAAATCAATCCCCATTTCTCCGGGTAATTTGTCTATCCCTTCCTTTTCCTAGTGTATCATATAGAGACTGATATAAATTAGTTGTTACGTTTTTGTTTCCTAATTGACCTGACACCATCGCTTCTATTAAAACCATCTGTCTAAAACAGGTTTTCTAGAAAGTTGAGAATCGTTGTGCCTGACTCAAAAGTCCTGGTACCAGGGTAGAGTGGGCCAGGTTTAAGTTAGTTTTGATCTCTCAATAAGTTAGAAAGGTTTCTTTACTGAATAGCTGGCCAACTGTGTGTATTCCAAGGCTCTCCCAATCTTTGAAGCTCCCTGGTTCACGCTTTGGCTTAAGAACGGGATTATTTGCAACCAGTGTCATCGCTGAGGGAAAAGAACTGATTTCTAGTTCTATCCCAAACCCACAGAGTAGCCTTTGCTAAAGGATCTGTGTAAACTCCTGGAGGGATGTGATTTTTTTTTAATTAATTCATGGCAGCTTAGCCATGTTTACATTGCTACGATTTTCTTGTTCAATAAAGACCCAGTGTTTGACTGAGTTTAGACCACCCCAATCCATTACAGTTTTGAGCTGCCTGGCTTCTCAGACTATTTGGAACAGTACTCCAGCCGTATATAAACAGCTATAAAACAAGCACACTGCACACACAGGGATTCTGATGCTTCCCACAGAAGCCAAGGGTTATGAGGCACCTCGCTACCACTTGCCAGAGGCGTAGCGAGTGCCCTCCATACCCTCCAACCGGAGGGGGCCCTGCAAGGAAGGGGGCCCCTAAAAGTGGCAAAAAAATGTAAGGTATAACTAGATAAGTGACATTTATTGATGCTATTGCACAACCCATGTCGGTTTTACTGACAAAACCATGAAGTCATTATGATACATCATAATGCTATTGGCTACGTCAGTTGTCTGTCGGTCAGTTTCGAATTTTAGTTGGACCCATTCAAAGAATGTGTATTTGCGTTCATAATGGCGGTCGGCAGATAAATGTTATTAATTTAGTTGTTTAATTTTTTATCGTTTGAAACTATTCGTTTCCAACGCAGAAGCGTGCTTTGTGACGTCTAAGAGAACGTATAAGAGCGGAGCTAGTAAATGAAAGGCAGCAAAAGATGCTGAGAAGGAACTTGAGAAAATTCCAAAGTTGTCAACGTATTTTGCGCTGCAATCCAACATACAGGCACATGAAACGGACAGCGCTAGCAGCGACGAATCGTATCCAGAAGTATCCAGAAGTGCTTCAAATGAGGTCAAAGGTGAAGCCAGTTGTTCTACCAAACAAACTGTGACAGATATTCCAGCTGCTGCCGGGAAAGAAGTATCTGAATCTGAACCACTGACTGATGATCCAGGAGATTGGCCGTCTATAATATCGGACAGGCAAGTGTGTGACATTGTTGCACGTGGCCCACCGCAGCAGAATGAAAGTTACTAATTTCCATTTAATGAGGAAAGTCGGAGGTTCACAAGTACTCATTTCTATCGAACCATGGCAAATAGCGAGAAAATAAGACGTTCGTGGTTAATGTACTCAGTTCAGAAAGATGCCATTTTTTGTTTTGATTGTAAATTATTTGGCACTGGCGACATACCGCTACGTCATGGAACATCTGCTTGGAAAGCACTGTCAAAAAGACTTCAGCAGCATGAAACAGGCAAAGGTCATCAAGACTGTATGGTGAAATGGTTTGACCTTCGGTCAGGCATAGTAAATCGTACATCTATTGACCAATTCGAATTGCAGGCTTTTCTGAAAGAAAGAGATTTCTGGAGAAATGTTGTCAAACGCATGGTTGATGTCGTTATTTTCTTGTCCGAAAGAAACTTGGCATTTCGAGGAAGTAATGAAAAGCTCGGCAATCCTTCAAATGGCAACTTTTTGGGACTGTTTGAATTGCTTGCAAAGTATGATACTGTCCTCAGCGAACTTTTACAGAGGATTAAGAAGGCAGAGACACATGTTCAGTACCTCAGTCCACAGATCCAAAACGAGCTGATTCAACTTGTTGCCAGTAACATTCAAGAGGCCAACATAGCGCAGCTTTAAAAAGCAAAATATTATTCAGTTATTTTGGACTATACTCCCGACATGTCACATGAAGAACAGATGTCTGTGGTGTTACGCTTTGTTGAATGCAACGGTGAAGATGGTGTCAATATTCGTGAAGCGTTTGTTGGTTTTCTTAATGTTCATGATACAACCAGCGAGGGCTTATTGGAAGCATTTTTTTAAAAGGCAAACAACTTAGGAATAGACATTGCTGACATGAGAGGCCAAGCTTATGATAACGACGCAAATATGAGAGGAAAGAATAAAGGAGTTCAACCCCGCATGCTAGAAATAAATGACCGTGCCTTGTATGTACCATGTGGAGCTCACACTTGGAATCTTGTGATCTCAGATGCGGCAAAGTCATCGAAATATGCCGTTGACTTTTTCGGTCTGATTAACAGAATATACGTAATCTTTTCTTCTTCACCTTCACGTTGGGATATACTTCAAGAACATATGCCAATATCTGTTAAAGGGTTATCGGACACTCGTTGGGAGTCGAGAATTGATGCTGTGAAGCCATTGCATTATCACCTTGAAGAATTGTGCAATGCTTTGTCATCTTTGCGAGAATATGCGCTCGAAAAGAAAGATGGCAATACAGCAACAGAAGCCGGTGCGCTTTTAGACCATGTTACTACGTGGCCTTTTGTTCTGACTGTGTACACGTGGTTCGATATACTATTTCACATCAATAAAACCAGCAAATTTATTCAGTCACCAGATGTGTCAATTGACGTACTACAGGCAGAAGTCGGTGCTACAAAGAAGTTTTTGGAAGACTATCGAAATACAGGATATATCTCTGTGGTCACAAATGCACGTGAAATAGCAGAGCATATGGGTATTGAGCAGGTGTTTCCAGAAACCAGGATGTGACGTAAGGAGAGAATGTTTGATTACGAATGTGCTGATTCAAGTCGTCTTTCTGCCGAAGAAAAATTCAAATCGCAGTTCTTTCTTGTTCTCACTGATCAGGCCATATCTTCTGTTTCGTCGTGATTTGACCAACTCGTGGAGTGGTATAAGTTGTTTGGATTTCTGTACAACGCTAACAGCCTGAAGCAGTGTCACAGAGAAAATGAACTGGAGAATCACAGCAAAAATTTTGAAAGAAAAATGGGAGACATTGATGCCAACGAACTCATAATGGAATTGAATTGTTTTATTTATGTCATCGAGAAAGAGAGAGGACTTGTCACGGCAAACAATTTTTTAATGTACATATACAAGAACAGCCTTCAGGAGATATATCCGAATCTTTGCATTTGCATCAGAATTCTTCTGACCACACCAGTTACTGTCACTGGTGCTGAAAGGAGCTTCAGCGGAATGAAACTGATCAAGAATATCCTGCACTCAACCATGACAGATGACAGGCTTTCTGCGCTTGCAGTTATCTCAGTCGAAAACAAGATTGCCAGATCTCTGGACTATGACGAATTGATTAACCAATTTGCGGAGAACAAGGCTCGAAAGAAGCGCTTTGCGTAAATACGGAATACATGTACACTGTAGGCCTATGTATGATAATATGAACATAACATAATATGAACCCTGTATATTGTATAAAATAAATACCGCATTCCAGTTTCTGCATTGTAAGGGGCCCCGCCCAGACATATGTTTGGAGGGGGCCACATTCTTTGTTGCTACAGCCCTGCCACTTGCCCTCAGCATGAGGGGACCTTGTCTATGCCTGACAAGGGTCAGCTCCCCAACTCCACCAGCCACAGGCAACAAGTCCTCCCCTCTTAGACTAAGTAGGCTCTGCTGTCCCTTTGCAGGTTAACGATAGGCACTCTCCAACCTTCAAGAATCTCCCTGGCATGTCCACCATCTGTTCCATGGGACAATTGCTGTATTCACAGAGTCCCTGCTCCTGTAGGACCTGTACCCTCCAGCTTACTAGCTATACCTCAGATCACTGCTCTGCTTAGCACACAGCACTTAGATATCTATTTAACAAAGAACAGAGATGCAAGTGATAGCAAGTAGAAATGTTGGAAACAAATGGCTACATATAAAACAAAATCCTAACATGCATTCTAGAGCCTAGACAATTAACAAGATATTCTCATCTCTAATCAGGAACTGCTCACCACCGCTTTTCATCCAGGCAGCCTGTGATCCCTTCATCATGAGACAAGCCGTGCTGTCACTTTGTCCCTAGGTGTCTCCTTGCATTTTTCTGATATACCAGACCAATCATTTGATCTTGTTCCCTCCTCCTGTAGATTTTGGGCTCTCTTGTCGATTTCGCAGTCTTGATTACCTGGTGGCTGGCTCAGTATGCAGACATGCTTACCTGGGAAGCCACACAAAACACAATGACCAGACATAGAGATAAGCATTTAATACCCCCTGCTTGAATGGAACCTGTCCGAGATACATCACCTCCTGGTGAGCTGCCTTCAACTTCAAAACTTTAAGAACATAATTTCCACTATAGATGCGTAACTTCTTTAATATTAACCCTATATACATTTCCCAATGATGATGATGACCAGTGGGCTACTGGCTCTCAGTAACTCACCCTTTGCTGAGTTATTGTGCATATACTTGGCCCAGGGGATCCCTGCAAAACTCCTTGTCCCACTGCACCTTCTGCCAGTGGCACAAAGAAGTTCCTGGGTCATACCGATTGCTGACAGGAACAGGACTAAAGTCAGCAAAGATAATCTACCAAGAACAGCTCAGACAGGATGGTGGCTCTTCCAGAGAATAGGGAAGAACTTACCAACTTCTCATGTCCTGGGGCAGCCACCTACATTTCAAGGGCAAAAGACAACTTTATGAAAAGGACTCATTATGCTACATTTGCCTTTAACCTCTTCCTTGTCCCCCAGGGTTTTATTAATGGGATACAAATGTATGGATTGATACCAATGTAAGATCCTTGTATGATTATTACTGAAATATGGGACATTGTGTGTACCACATTCATGTTAGCCCTACACTGTAGCAGTGACCCTATGTGAAGCACACTACCCTCCACTGGATGCTACGTGGGAGCAGCTTACCATCGGGAGGTTGTCAAATGGCGGAACAAAGTAGTAATTATTACAATTGATGATTGCTGAAGTAATAAGGGCTTGTGTATTTGGAGCAGAAAGTCCCATGTTTGGTTTCTATTTGTGACCATGAAGATCATGGATCAAACATTCAAAAGTACCTAAGTGACTTAGGAGCCTAAATCTCAATGACTTTCAATGAGATTTTGGCTTCCAAGGTGGCCCACATCCTCAATGGTATTTAGGCACTTAACGCCCATTGATTTAAATGAAGTAAGGCACCTATATGCCTTTGAGGTTCTGGGCCTACTTCGCTTTTAAAGGTGGGACTCCACATGGCTAGAGTGAAAAACATAGAGGAGGACTATGAAATAGTTTCCAGCTGCAATGGTATCATCCAGCCCTGATCTCTTGACTCCAGCAACTGTACCAACACAGTAGAAAACTCAGCACCTGTTTCCCATTCTCACCAGTCTTTATGCAGAGTAAGGTCAAGCCTACTTGTCACGCAAGCTTTATTTAAGCACAAAGAGCTCCCGTGGATCTGGGAAATGTGCTTTCACTAAGTGAAATCCACTTAAAAAAACAATTTTAGCAACTAGGAATTTGTATGTGTGCAGCCCAAGCCCAAGTGTGAAATGATGCATAAAAGTACAGCTTGTGGTTTTAATTAAGGCAAATGCAAGTCAGGAAAGACAATATCCCATTATTGCGCAGGGCTCATAGTCTGTCATGTTGGATACAGTTTCTGCATTCAGTTAAAAGAGGCAAATTAGGCCCTAGTGCCAGAAGGAAAACCAAACAGAGCCAGTTTCATGGACCAAAATTCAATGGGAGACAGGAAGAATTTATCATCTCCACAAAAAACTTTGGAATACGCAGTGGAAAGAGACTTCAGAAATCCATGGAAAGGCTTTGAAGAAGTGTGACTCATGGTCACTTTGAAAATTCAGTTTTCTTCTTTCTTTCCACGTATGAAATGGGTTTTAAGAGTCTCACACCCTATTTTTCTCTAGTTGGAGATCCTAGTTGGCAGGTTCCTCCTTTATCACTACCTCAAAGGCCACAGAGACAGCTTTTCCTTATAGCTTAGAAGTTGGGCCATTCAAGAATGACACTAAGCACTCCCTACCTCCCCAAGTGCCCTGTCTCCCTAGCAGTAGGAAGTGTGATTGGGCAATGAGGGGTTGGGCCCACATTAAAAATAGACCACAATGGGCCATAGATCTATCCATGTGCAGTATTATTAGTCAACACGTTTGCTATTGCCCAATATGCAATCTGGTTTGTAGCTAAAGTGCTCAACATGAAAGGAAGCATAGTTAATTACTGTATGGCCTAGGGTTGGGTCTCTAGTGTAGCTATTGACGTGGAGTTTGGAAGACTCAAAGGGTAAGTCTTCATTGCAAAAACAAGCAAACAAAAAACTTGGCAACAAGTTTTCGAGCCCAGGTTCTACAGATTTGGGCTCACAAGGCTTATGCTTTGGCACTAAAAATAGCACCGTAGACATTCCCGCAAAGGCGCTGAGACTCGCCCTCTGGCTGGGTTTCAGAGCGCAGGCAGGAACACTGACACTGCTCAGTTGAGCTCTGGAGTGCACGCTGCAGTCTGTAGACCCAGGCTCTGAGACACAGTGCTGCAGGGGTGGCGGTTTTGGGGTGTTTTTTTTTTTTTCTCCAGTGTAGACATACAGACCTTAGATATAGCAATGGTGTGTTTTTGCTGTAATTGTTTCCCGGAAGATGGGGGTAACCATTTGTCAGTTTCTTTGCATACATACGGAAATAGAGCAATAGATAAAAATCATATAAACCCAATAACTCTCATCTTTTGAAAAAAGTGCAATGGAAATTAACACAAACACCTACAATGAAACACTAAGAGGCAGACTTAGGTACAAATGGGTGTATCTGCAGCTCTTGTTGAAGTTGTATAAAATGGCACAAGTTATAGATGGAGAAAAAACATCAGATCATTAAACCCAGCCTCCTTGGACGAACAAGACATAAGAGTCAACACACATTTTCAAACTGTGGGGCGCAGCCAGGAATGATTGGCAGGGCGTGCCCTCTCCACTCCAACTCACCTCCATGGGCCACCCAGTGGCTCAGTGTCAACATCTGCCACTGCCATGCTGATTTCCGCTCCCAGCAGCCTCTGCATCCCGTGCTGGCTCCGCCCCCACCCTGACAACCCAAGGGGGGAGGGGCAGGCATTGTGTCTATTTTTGTCTGGGTCGGGTGGGTGCAACCACAAATTGTAACTCAAAGGGGGGGCTCGGCGCAAAAAGTTTGAAAACCGCTGCATTCAACTGATACATTGCAAGGCTAAGATCGTGACTATTGTAGTATCAGCAACACATGGAGCGTTAGGGCCAGGGTACACTTTTACTGTTAATATAACATGAAATTCGGTTCCTTTTAGAGAGTTTTGGGCTTGTGAGTAACACAGCATCTTTTCTGGATTTGATTTTTATAATGCTCCTCCCATTTTGCATATACACGTTCCCTATCTAAGGGTAGCATTTTCACTCCTATCTGGCACAAAAGCCATTAAAAAAAATAGAGTGGGGAGCAGGAATAGAATTGTCCAGAAATCATTCCAGACATGACATGGTCCCATGCAACAAAGAACATTAACATGCCAAAAACCCTCCACAACTAAAACAATCTAGTTTTTCGTTACTTACAAGTGGCTGTCAGCAGCACTGCAGTCAGGAGAGACAGTCTGCCAGTACCCAGTTAAAGCAACAGCAGCTAATCATGTGAAACAGCAAGACAAATGCCAGGTAATGAAAAACAAATGTCGAAGGCCTTACTGGGTGTGCAGTAAGCCATGTATCTTGCCTCTCCAGCTACGATAGTTCTGCAGGTGCTTTGCCCATTGCTTTTTACAGCCATAGTCAGAGGTGGGTTTGAGTGCTGATTTAAAGTTAATTTAGGGAAATTGTGCCTTTATTGTTAAGGATTCCCCCTCCCCCCTTCATCTTTGTTCTGCTTTTAGGAGTGATCTAAAGTGCAGGATGATTCAAACATCAACAAGAGGGTGGGGGGAAATCAACCCCAAAGAACAAGGAACGAAATGTTATCAGGGCAGTAGGAAAAAGCAACATCCCCCCTTCCATTAGTCCCCCTCCAACCTGGGCATACACAGAGGGGAAGGTTTAGAGTCTACATTCTGCTCCAACTGAAAACCAAGAGCTTACCTTCCCACTCAGTGCAGTTTACTAAATACATTTCCTTGCCTAACCTCAGGCTGTGGGGGCATTTATAAAAGGGAAGGGGTACCGGAGGCAGCGGGGAAGAAAGTAGGCAGAACTCCGCTCTAGAATCTGAGGGCTTAGGATGGTGGCCCCAGAGCAGCCCTACTCACTGAGCCCTTGACAAGTGCTGATGAGGAAAAGAGAAAGTCCTGGCAGGACACACAGGAACGTTGCCTTCCTGAGTCCCAGCATTGTTCCAATTCATGTAAGCTCAGGTCTGGGTTATGCT